GCTGGGGGATTGAACCGCGGTCCCTGATGCTTTGCTAAGCTTGTTCTAAGTAGGTGCTTTAGACCACTGAGCCATCTCTCCAGCCCCAGGCCTAACTTCTCTAGTATGTCTGCTGCACTATTCTAAGGAATTTATTTATTTTTAGTTAAAAATAAAATGTATGCTTCTTCCTGAAATAGAAAATACAGATTAGTAAAAAGAAAAATCACTATCCCGCAATCACTGGATAGTGATGATTGTAAGTATCTTTGGCTTGTGTTTTACCCCTGTGTAGAAACCATAGTTACCATTGAGAATACAGTCCCTTGTGAAGTGAGTAAACCTGTATTCTGAATCTGATTGATCTCTTTTAGTAATTTATAAGTCATTTCTCACCTTCTCTCTCCTAGACCGTTTTGCATTAGTATTTGTGTATATTTAAATTTCTCCTTTTTTAGGTGCAGTACTGGGGATTGAACAGAGGTACTCTTTTTACATTCCCAGCCCTTTTTATTATTTTGAGACAAGGCTTACTAAATTTTATGGGCTGAGATTGAATGTCATCCTCTTGCCTCAGTCTTCTATAGTATCTGGAACTATAGGTGGTGGCTACTGTGCCTGGCAAGTTTCTCTTTAGCAAACATCTACTGTACCAGGCTTCTACACTGTTCTCTCCTGCTTTACCTCTTTTTCACCATATTTAAAAGTGGTTTGAAGAGCCAGGCATGGTGGTGCACATCTGTAATTCCAGCACTGGGGAGGCTGAGGCAGGAGGATTAGGAAGATTGCTCTGAGTTGCAGGTCAGTTCTGGGCTACACAGTGAGTTCAAGGTCAGTCTGCACTACATAGGAAGACCCTGTCTCCATAGCAAACAAAGCAGGTGGCCTAAAGACATGCTTATTTGTTTAAGGAATAAAAGTTGCTATTAGCCTTGATCACTTGGGCATGTGGTTTTTTTGGGGGGGTCGGGGCATGTGATTTGACTGTTCCTCACTACCTTTTTTTTTTTTGTGGAACCGGGGATTGAACTCAGGTCCTTGCACTTGCCAGGCAAGCACTTATTCCACTGAGCTATCTCCCCGGCCCCTCCTCACTACCTTTTCCTCACAGTAAATTGCTGCTCTTTATGCTTGTTAACCTTTAATTTGCTTTATAGATTTACTTTGATGCATTTATGTGTTTGATTTTGAATGTCAAATAAATCATACTGATTTACTTTGGGTTTGCTTGTTTAGTAATGTTTTAAGATAAATTCATCTTGATAGATGTGTGTGCACATGTAAGTGCTGTTTAATGTAATCTTTATCTTAAACAGTAGTGATACTAGAACAGCTCTAAGCTTATTTATTTTTTCTTTTTTTTAGCTCTAAGCTTGCTTGCTTATTTATTTATTTATTTATTTATTTATTTATTTATTTATTTTTGCGGTACTGGGGATTGAACTCAGATCCTTGCGTTTGCCAGTCAAGCGCTTATCCTACTGAGCCATCTCCCCGGCCCCTCTAAGCTTATTTAAAGGTGCCATGAATTGAAAATGAAACTTTGTCATTAAGTCACATTGTCTACAAAAAGCAGACACCAGTTTTTAGAAGAGAACGCTTGTATTCTGAACAGATAAGCATGCTTATTTTTGTTACTCCCAGAAGGATTTTTGAATCTTTATAATCTTGTGTGCAGTGATGTTTGTTATTTGTTTTTTTTTTTTTTACAGTGCTTGAGGTTGAACCCATAGCTTTGCATTGTATCACTGAGTTCCACCCCAGTTATTTTGTTTTGTCTTTTTGAGACAGGCTCTTGCTATGCAGTTCAGGCTGGCCTTAAAATTGCTTTGTAGCCCAGTCTGGCCTTGAACTCACGGTGATCCTCCTGCCTCTGCCTCCTGGGTGCTGGGATTACAGGCATGTGCCACCACGCCCGGCTAGTTATCTTAATTCATGAGTTTAAAATCAAACTTGTAAGCCTATTCTAGAGGTTGATGTGGCTTTTGTTTTGCTTTGACATACACTGAAAGTGAAGTCCACTGATACAACAAAAGGTAAACAATACTGTACAAATATGAATACAAAATACAAAACCACTTTAGGTTATCTGTGTGGAAATATAACTTTGTCTATCCCAGGCCCTGATATGTTGTGTTCCCGTGATGATGAACCTCTTAGAGCTTGCAGAGGGGAGGTAACGACTAGCCCACTATAGCATGCGTGATACCAGTTTGTCACCATTGTGATTTTCATGTTTTATAATAAACACATCATAACAATATCCTTGAAAGATTAAATTATGTGCAAATGATTCTAGTTGAGAGAATAAATATAGCTATTAAAATGTAAATTTAAATTATTTTTTTAAAACTCCTGAAAGGTTTTAGCATAAGAGGGATTACTTTTTATAAAGTTTCTTTGCAGAGCTTGTCTGAAGTGATTCATTCTTTCAGTATTATGGAAAACTATTTTTTTTTTTTTTTTTGGTGGAACTGGGGATTGAACTCAGGCCCTTGCGCTTGCCAGGGAAGTGCTTATTCCACTGAGCCATGTCCCTGGCCCCAAAACTATGGTTTTTATATTTGAAAAACAGCAAATGAAGCACTGGTAAAACCTTTAATCACATTTAATATAGACTATTCATACCTTATGACATATAAGGTAGCTATAAAGTCCTAAAGCAGCTGGTATTTTGTAGGTAACTGGCTACTCTTCAGACCTACTTGACAGCATAAGTGTTGAAACAGACAGAGTGAAATATAGGACAGACCATTTAAATTTTGAGAATTAGGAATATAAGATATAGGGAGCTTGTAAAGTAAAACATATTTAGAACATTTGGAAGAAATTTCATCAATAATTTAAGAGTGTATAACTAGAAAATATGTTGTTAAAAAATAAAAAGTACAGATTATCTACTGATAATCTTTTCTAGAAACGACTACAAAAAGAACTGTTGGCTTTGCAAAATGATCCACCTCCTGGGATGACTTTAAATGAAAAGAGTGTTCAAAATTCAATCACACAGTAAGTATTTTTTCAAGTACTTTTTTATTACTAGTTTATATATATAAACATATATATATATGTATATATATATATATAACTAGATCAGCATAAACATATTTCTCTCTATATATATACATAGAGAGAATTCTAAAAATAATTAGAATATATATACATAGAGAGAGAGAGAGAAATATATCTGTTTATGCTGATCTAATTCTGTGTACTTATGTACAGTATGTATCATTTTTGTTTTACTTATGTCATATGGATTGCTGTATACTTTGAAATTTCTGTTTTTGAGATTCTGGGGATTGAGTCTAGAGCCTTCCACATGTTAGGTAAGCTCTGTGAATATTAGTAAAATGTTTTAAATGTTTAGTAAAACGCTTTAAATGTTTCTTATTAACAGGGCAGCATTACAGCCTTTTTGTTTGGCATATGCTCAGGATTTATGAGGACCTAGATCCAATCTACAACACCAAAAAACAAAGCAAACTAAAAAAACTTTAAAAAATCCCAAATACTATATCCCTTGACTTAGTAAATATACCACCCTTTTGCCTCTCTTAGGAAAGGAACAGGGGTACAGAAAAGCAACTGACTTACAACTATGCTCATTTTAATACTAATTCTAAAGACAGTTTTTGGGCAATGTAGCTGTTCATAATAAAGTTTTATCAGAGTACTGCACTGAAATGGCATCATGTGAGTTGCAGTCTGTAGTAAGCATATGAGGCAAAAATTGTGTATAATTCCCTTTAAAGATTAGAAGGGCCGTGTCGGTATTTATCTTTCCTTTTTTTTTTAGTATTTATCTTTTCTTAATCCACTCAAGTCCATTTTTTCTCTAAAGTAAAATAGCTATCTTTGATTAGGAGGCAAGATATATGAAAAGAAAAGTTCTAATTTTAAACATTAGAATTGCAGAATAGTATTCAGTTTAAGAACGGAGACAGAGACTCAGGACATATGAGAACTTGTACTGTAACGTCATGTACTTCGGTAGTGTCCCAAATTTTCTGATCAAGAAGAGTATGGGGCCAAAGAGGAAAGTGATCGATGACATAGAGTGGGCCTAAGGAGAGTCACATGGGGAGAAGA